AAGGTTTGAAGAAAGAGTTTTCTATCACATGGCAACAAGCTAAGGAGATTGTAAAGAAATGCCCTACTTGCTCTTTCTATAACCAAACGCCACTGCCTGCAGGGGCTAATCCAAAGGGCACCCAAAGGAATGAAATCTGGCAGATGGATGTGTTTCACTTTGCAGAATTTGGCAAATTGAAGTATGTTCACCACACCATTGACACTTATTCAGGCTTTCAGTGGGCAACTGCTTTAAGTTCAGAAAAAGCTGATTCAGTAATCACTCATTTATTAGAAGTCATGGCTATCATGGGTATACCTACACAAATAAAGACAGATAATGGTCCTGCTTATGCCTCTAGGAAAATGAAACGGTTTTTTGACTATTACAATATCAAGCATGTTACAGGTATACCATACAATCCTACAGGTCAAGCAGTCATAGAAAGATCAAATCGAACTATAAAGGATATGTTGAATAAACAGAAAGGGGTGGAAAACACCCCCAGAAATAGGTTACATAATGCTTTGTTAACCTTGAATTTTCTTAACGCTAATGAGAAGGGGACAACGGCTGCAGAAAGACATTGGATAATGGAAAAGTCTACTGAACTAAATCAACCAGTTTATTTCAAGGATGTGCTGACCTCACAATGGAAGCCAGGAGATGTGCTGCGTTGGGGAAGGGGTTTTGCTCTTATCTCCACAGGTGAGGAACAATTGTGGATACCGTCAAAATTAATAAAGGTTCGGTATGAAGAAGAAAAGCCATTTGGAAAAGATAAATAACAATTCATTCACAAGGATGGCGAGCATACTGATGGTAAGGAATTCAGGTAGGTTGGGGGCAGGGTTTTTTTTTTTTTTTATCTCCACAGGAAAATACTGATCTTCAAAGAATTTAAGGGACCCTGAATATTTAATAACTGATGGATGGAAAATAGTTACGACCCACTAAGACTCAACAGTAACATGAGTAAGTATTGATTATATATATATTTTCTTTTTTCTCTTTGAACGCTTCTTTATAAATATGTAGAGCTGGTTTTGGAGTTGGACTATGGCTCAGTCCCTCTTCAATTCCAAGCCTGTTGATAAGAGATATCTCAGAGTTTCTGTCTCAGATCAGGAGCCATGAAATGGGACAGAATGAGGATAATTATATACTTGATAAACTTTCTTTGCTTTTCCTCATATCTGTGTCTTTCTTTATATGTCAGAATATGTCCTTGTTGTTAATGTTTAAATTTCCCATAACAAGCAACAAATTTCCCTACAGTAATTTTTGAAGTTTCCAGGATGAAGATGGGGCCCCACAACATCAACTCAACCTGGTTTTTATGACGTCATGAATATTTTTTTTCTTTTTCTCTTTTTTACGCGCTAATATGAGACCTGTTTTTTGGTACCAACTGCACAAGACAATTTCGAATGGTGCACATTTTTGACAACACTCTGGCCGGACCTTCTCAAAGTGCTCAGGGACTAGTTATAATTTTCTTAGGTCAAAGGTTAATTTGGGAATTTTACCATCATTTGCTTTCACAGGAGCCCCTAAGGAGAACATCGCCCCCATGTCAGCTTGAAGCAATCTTAGAGGACGACGTCCCCTCTCCCAACAGAGTTTGCCCTCAGGGTTAGGGACATCTTTTAGTGGTTGGTTTGGGGTTGAGGGGATGGGGAGATGTTTTATGGAATTAGGGGTATGTTCGAAAAAAAAAAAAGGGGGGGGGATTAACTGGTTTGATGGGATGATTGGTATTTGTGAGTTACTGTTTTTAGAAAATTGTATTGGTACTGTTTTCTGTATATTGACATATTGAATATTGAATGTGAGTGTTCCTACCTCTATTTTTGTATAAGAATATGCTTATATTGTATTGATACATCTACCATATCACAATGTACATTTCTACCTCTGATACTATTTATGTAATAACATTGTTTACATTTGATATGTAATGACATTGTTTACAGATGAAGATCATTGTCTTCATATATTGCACAGTTGTTTATTGTTTTAGTCTTTAAGTTAGATAGATATTGAGAATTATATAGATTAATAGTCATCTAAGTTTGTCATTTGTAATTAGACTAATCAGGTTCTTTAGATATATAGAGATTATACTCAGTATAGATAGATAATCTTCAACCTCTTTGGAGAGCTGTAGAATATGGCCTTTAATATAACTCAGAGTTTCGTGATAGTGAGACACAATTGCTCCTGGCAACACCGCTCTATTCCCGAGAGAACGTTGAGCACCAAAGACACTCCACTGGGAGCTTGTCTTCTTGGCAGAACTGGCCTTTGGGTTAAGAAAAGCCCATACCTCAACCACTGACAAAGATACAGAGCGTGCATCAATGGATACAACAGGACTGTCATATCCTGCCAAGACAGGGTAAGATAGTTTTGAAAAGTTCCTTGCCTTTAATAATGGTATGTCAGTTATGTTAGGCCTTAGCCAAAGTTGGTTGACTCAACATTGCAAACGAGACTTTGGGTGATTGCTCAGGTAGTCAGTTGTCTTTGTCAATTGTTACACATTTGGATCGTTTGTTAAGTAATATTTATTGCCTTCTCGGATCTTTGATGGAGTTGAAGATTATATAATTGTAGTTACTCTCTACATTATTTAGACTCCTTGAGATAGAATGTTTAGCAAAACTTTTGATTCTCAATATTGTTTGTTATATTTATTTGTTATTATTGTATATAGTTGTATTTGGTTTAGTTCTGTCTTATTTAGACAAAAGGGGGAGATGTAGGGATAAGTCCCACCCCTTAGGGGGCATGTTCGCCTCAGGCTAAAGTTTTCCTATAAATTTGGTGAGCGTGCTCCCAGCGCTCGCTTCTGCTTTCCTGGTCTCCGCGGGAACGGTGGTTCTGTAAGTCTATTCCTCCATTAAAGCTGTCTATATTTTGACAATTTGTCTGCATTCGCTTATGCCATTACAATTTATCTTTCTGGGTCTGACTTATCTCACTCAGGATTTTTTTTTATAGTTCCATACATTTTACTACAATTTCATTTTTTTAAATGACTGAGTAATGTTTCATTGTATGAAAGAATCATATTTTCTTTATCCATTCTCCTTTTAATGGATACTTAGATTGTTTCCAATTTTTGGATGTTATGAATAGATCATCATTGAACATGGTTGAGCAACTATCTCTGTGGTAGAATGAAGTGACCTTTAGGTATAGGCTCAACAGTCATATAGCTGTATCTTGAGGTAGATTGAGTCTCATCTTTCCAAGGAACCACCACACTAATTTCCATAGTGGTTGTACAAGTTTGCACTCCTGTCAGTAATAGATTAGTGTTCTCCTTACTCCACATCCTCACTAGCATAAGCTCTTACTTGTTCTATTGATTGTGGCCATTCTGATGAAATCTCAACATAGTGAGTACCACTCTGTGGCCCAGACTGACCTAGAATTTACTAGAGAACTCATTCTGGCTTCAAAATCATGGAAATTTTGCCTCATTTTTCCAAGTGCTGGAATTATGGGCATGAGCTTTCATAGCTGATTTTACAATGTTTCTGAATGTGATATATTACTGGTAAAGTGACATTTATTGGTCACTCTCTTAGAGTTCTATTACTGTGAAGAGACACCATGACCACAACAACTCTTATAAAGGAAAGCATTGAATTGAGGCTTGCTTGCAGTTTTAGAGGTTAAGTCCATTATTGTCATGGTGAGAAGCATAGTGGTATGCAATCAGACATGCTGCCTGAGAAGGAGCTACATCTCAATTCACATGAAGAGACCTGTGCCACACACTGGGCATAGCTTGAGTATATGAAAGCTCAAAGACCAAAGCCCACCTCCACAGTGACATACTTCCTCCAACAAGCTACATCTCCTAATTGTGCCACTCCCTATGGGCTAAAACACATGAGTCTATAGGAACATACCTATTCAAAACACCACATCACTTAGTTTATGTTGTGAAATATAATAAGGTAAAGAAGCAATGATAAAATCACTATTGATTACCATAGATGCTTCTTTTCATGTAAAATGTTCTCATGAAGCCTTGTAAGGTGTTGGAAGTGCCAGTTGTTATGATGGTGGTGTTGACATCACAGATGCTTGATAATCTCAAAATTAACCTAAACATACTACTTGTGTGTTCTTTTTCACATTTTAATTATCTTTAATATATATATCAAAATAACCAATGTCTTCAAGGATAGTTTTATATTGAGAATAAGTTGTAAAATCATTGTCAGCTCCACCTTTCTCCTTACCAAAGTTTATCTAAATATTTAGACCCTTATTCTTTCTAGCAGTGCGAGGATTCCCATATTCATTGTCAGCTCCACCTTTGTCCCTATCAAAGTTTATCTAAATATCTAGACTCTTATTCTTTCTAGCAGTACAAGGAAGATTAAACTCACAGTACCAGTCTTGACTCTTTTTAAAAAATGTCTATCAATATTACACAAGGTGTTTTGATCACATTCACATCTCTGCCACAACTACTCTAGAGTCACACTCACTTCTAACTTCACATTCTCTCCCTTTTTTTTCAAGAATATATTTGTATAATTGACAATTTCATGAATTCTAAATTCTTGAAGTATCTATACAGCTTTTGTTTGTGACACTACGGGTTGAATGTAAGGGCTTTGTGCATGCTGGGCAAGCACTTGTACTGCCCAGCCATAAATATTCTCATTCCTGTAGCCTGTTCACATGTGACACCTGATTTCCAATGTTTAATTTCACCCAGTGCATTCATTAAAATGATCAGTTTCTCCATAAGTTAGTTTAATTGCTACTTCTAAAACTGTAGACTGAGAACAGATATATTCCGTTTTTAATTGGTTAGAATTTTACTCATGTGGTATATAACTAGAACAAGAATTCGCAGCCTCTCTGAGCATCCTTCCACTCGTAACAAAAACGAATGTCTACAACAAATTTGTGGTCTGACCCTACTCAACATTACCAAGCAGATTTCTAATATTCCTGGGAAAAGCTTTTTCAAATATACAGTATCCTACCACAAGATACACCAGCATTTAACAGTTCTGTATTCATGAACTCTAACATCATCAGTAACATTATGAATGGCACCATTGGCCCTTAAGACAGTGCAGAAGGGGCTTACTGGGTCACAGTGTACATGGTTTTAAGGCTTTTAATGTACTTTAGCAAGTAATCTCCTGAATGACTTGAGCAAACCTACCCACTCTGTTGCTCATTATATCAATACAGTGGACTTTGCCATTAATGAAGGAACTAAGCCAACCAAAGCCCCATTGGATTCTCACCAACCAAGGACACACTTCTAGTAAGTAAATGAAAAACAGATTCTTTTGAAAAGTCACTCAGCTTTCTCCCAGTAAGATAACCAACAGAAACACTTCCTGAAAAAAAAAAAAGAGAAGGTTTTGGTGTCAAGAGTCTAGTTCAGTGGCAATGTTTTTCCAGCACGCACAAGGCCCTGGGTCCCATTAACAGCACCAATAAGAAGGAAAGAGGCTACAGTGTTTTTCTAAAATAAAAAGTTAAAAAAAGAAAATTCAGTACCAAATAACCAAAATGTTTTATTTGACTAAATTTAGATTCATGCATAAGCATGACAGTCTCTCTCTCTCTCTCTCTATCAGACTTTGGCAATTAAAAAACAAAACAAAACAAAAAAACAAAAACCATAAACAAACCAAGCAGCCTTGTACAGAACAACGAGAACGCCAAAGATGAGGAGTCTACAGTTTTACTGTAGGACACATATGTACACACATATATACATATGTATACATTTCTGAAAGGCCGTGTCAACTCTCAGGTCAGCTCAGACACACATGACTCCAGAATCACTTCTTCACTTCTCCAAGGTCTTCGATGCTGTCATCATCCACCTCTGGCCACTTTTCCTGAATGACATCAATTATGTCATCTGTGAAGTCTCCCTGAATGATGACCTCATCCTCCCCTGTTACTGAGGCACCGTGGGAGAATTTTTGAGCAAAAAATCTTTGTGCTTCTTTGAGATCAATTTCAAATGTTACAAGGCCACACACTCTCGTCACATATTTCTTCTTCGCTCTGGGAATTTTGGCTATTGTGAACTTCTGTGGCACTGTCTTCTTCTTCTGTTTTATTTGACCTCTTCCCCCTCTCTTTTGTTTTTTTCTTCTCCTCCTCTTCCCCTACTGTCCCTTGACCTTCACTAATTCCAGCTTCTTGTTTGGGTGAATTTTCTACAGTCAGTTTTGCAAATTCATTTGGAAAATTTTTCTCTAGCCATTGTCTACACTTAGCAACATCAGGCATATATTCACAGTACTCTGTTGGTAATGAAAAAACTCCACAATAAAGGACTCGAAGAGGGTAATCGGAATCTAACTTGGCACTGTTCCTCATATCGCCTTTGCAATCAGTCCCACTGGATTCAGAAATGTCAGTAGCCATCTCACAAACACAGCCGGTCACACAGCCCCCGCCGCCTCTGCTCCCGCCAGCTGAAGTGACACATCCAAGTCCTCTTGCCCGGCCACAGCAGCCCCCACATTCTCTCCTTTTATAAAAGTCTAGTGAGTCCAGTTTGTATTGCCCAGACACTCATGAGTATAGCGTAAACCCCCAGAGCATGGCTGACCTGCCAAGGATCACATCCTTAATCAAAATAGGTTCTTCCACACACAGAAACTATCAATTGCTAATAGCTCCTCATCTAGGGATAGAACTATGTCCACTTTCATGCTTCCCTCAATGCAGAAATTTTATCTGTGTCTAGAGCTCTTATGAATCTTGTGAATGCTGCCATAGTCACTGTCGGTTTGTATATGTGACTGCCATATTATGTCTGGAAAATACTGTTTCATTGTTGTCATATACCACTTATGGCTCTTACAATACTTTCCCTCCTTCTGCAATGTCCCCTGAGCATTGTGTAGAGGAGATTCCTTACTTATGGCTGAGCAGCTACATGCTTTTATGCTAATTATTGTTTAGAATTACTGAGGAATACTTTATTATATAATATTTTAATAGACTAATATTGTATATTCACACCTAATAGTCTAATAAAATACAATCCCTATGACAACATCCGCCTCCAAATATTTCTTAAGTGTAACATAAATGTAATTTATCACATACAACATTAAAATATTTGGAGTGAACAGGTTCTGGGAGCTGTGAACCCCCAGATCCTGAACTTCTTGTAAACAGCTTGTTTTCCTCTGCTCTGAGAGCTTGCGGCTGCTCTGAGAGCTTGCGGCTGCTCTGAGCACGAGACCCTCAGGAGTTTCTGATGGCAGGGGAGTGATTTCTGGTGGGTTTGCCTGGGGCGTGGCTATCCCTATAAAAGCTGCCCCTGGACACAATAAAGGGGGCATTCTGGCATCAAGGATGACATGTGTCTCTGTGTCTTTGTGTGTTTCAATCTCTAGCCCCTTGCCCGGTTCACGAACTGTATGGTAGCTTATGGAGCACAGAAGGGTGTGGTGCACTACAAACAAGGCAATTCATGCCCCACATTTATAGTAAGAATGCAAAAGACCAATGAGCATAGAATTTCTTAGAGAACAAGGAATATAAAAATGAGTGTGTTTAGGTTGATCCTACTTCTTTGGATGGCTTTGTGTCCAGAATTTATGAGCAGCACAAACTGGAGGCTATTGGTTACTAAATTAAAAAAAGGAATTGGGGGAGAGAGAGGGAGTAACTAAGGGGATGATTTAAGAGTGAATATGATTAAAACAGTTGCATGATATTTTAAGAAATTAGTAAATGTATTAAAACATGGTAGATGCATTTGGATTATAAAAAGTCCAGTCCAAGGTGTACACACACACACACACACACACACACACACATTCATTAGTTTGATAGTAAGTTCTTAACAAACTTGAATATATGCCTCCAAATTAGTAGAATAAAGAAAACAGAGGAATTTACATATTAGAAAATTTCATATTTTTATAAACAATTTGTTTATGTTTATATTGTTTGTACAATTTGTAAGCTACTACGTTGGTGCTGGTAACTAAATATAGATCCTGTGCAAGAGTAACAGGTGATTTCAACACTGAGCTAAGCCAATTCATAAAGTGAATATTTATAACATGTAGACTATGCTTCTATATGTCAGTATTTATTTTGATTCTTCTGGTTGGATTTTATCATCATTACATAAACTAGAGGCAACTGAGAAGAGAAAATCTGAACTGAGGTCTTCTGCCATCAGACTGGCTTTTGGACAAGTCTCTCGGATATTTTCTTGATTGTTCACTGATATAGGAAAGCCCATACCACTATAGCAAAATTAGTTGAACAAGCCATGAAAGCAAGCCAGCAAACAACATTCCCCCATGGCCTCTGCTTTAGTTCCTGACTACAGGTTCTGCGCTGACTTCTCTGTGTTAGACTGTTGAGCAGGCAACTAAACCAAAAAAATTCTTTCCTCTCCACACAGTTTTTGGCCATGGTGTTTTTCACAGCAACAGAAATCAAGCAGCACACTGACAGATGGCGGTTATAATTCATTTTTCCCCAAGTTAAAATGAGTGAGTGAGCGAAGGGATTGAGAATTGCTATAGTTTCTCCAAACACTACAACTAATTTTTATTCTAATTTTATGAGATAGTTAAAGGTCCCCAAAAGAGAAGAAACACAAAAAATAAGAAGAGAAGGGAAACAAAGTTGCAATTTTCATGATAGGCTTCTGTTTTGGGATTTATACAAGCTGTCGTATTGAGTTTCATCAGTTTAGTATGGTCCTATGAGGATAGGATTAAAGGGAACAAATACCAGTGGTACAACAAATAGGTAAACAAAATTAATGGCTAGATGTACTCCCACTACAACCTCCTTGTTTTTACTCAAAGCAGGACCGTTTTGGTCATATTTTTCCTTGTAGGTACAAGGCAGTCTGTTGGTAGCATAAGGCTGACCAGCAGGGAAATTGCAAAGCATTCTAACATATACATTGAGCTATTTTGTCAATTTTCCACTTCAGTCAGAAAAAAAAAAAAGTGCGTGAGAGGAATTGACTACTGTGAGGAAATAAAATTCAAGATGACAGGTGCCAAAACAAACACTTAAGTACTTTGGGACTGTACAGACACTCAGAGTGACTGCTGTTACTGGATGGTAAGGTTCTGGTACAAGAGTAGTATAATGGGGAGCTGGAGAGATGGCTCAGTGGTTAAGAGCATTGCCTGCACTTCCAAAGGTCCTGAGTTCAATTCCCAGCAACCACATGGTGGCTCACAACCATCTGTAAAGAGGTCTGGCGCCCTCTTCTGGTCTTCAGGCATACACACAGACAGAATATTGTATACATAATAAATAAATAAATAAATAATTAAAAAAGAGTAGTATAATAGTGCTCAATACCATTACACTAATCAGACACACTCTGAAGATAACTGGTAAGGATGCAGTCAATACTTTGCTTCTCATTTCAGTCAACTAGTTGATTAGTTCAAAGAGTTCATCCCCTAAGAGATCTACTAATACTTCTCCAGTTGCTATGATAATGCAAATCTTTTTAGTACTGAACACATTTGTAGAAAGAGCACTTGATCTTGCATATCACTGTGATGGACTCATTTTCGATGGTCCAGCTAGAGTATGATAGATTCTTCATATTATGTATTATTTTAATCTGTTGCTATTCTTTGAGGCATTCCTTAAATACATAGATCTTTTTCTAAGGGACACTATTCTCAAAGACTACATCAACTAGTTGCTTCAAATAATCTGAGTTCCTTACACTTGAGCATTAATCTTTATCAGAGGAATACTATTCAAATACTTTATTCTTATTTTTCAGTCATCTTTTCTCTCTGTCAGTTGTCTCCATTTCTCCTCAGAAGCATTTTAGTTTGACTTTGTCCCACTTGTCTATTTATGCTTCTGCTGCCTATGATTGTTGGGTCATATCTATTTTGTGTCCTAGACCAATTCTCTTGATCTTTCCCCAGCTGTTTTTTTTTTCCCACAAATTTCAGAGCTAAAGAAATGTGACCCTAATTGGTCTAATTACTATTTATTAAATAAAAACCTGGAGTCAGGTGTTAGGGGGTGAAAGCAGAAAGATCAGAGAAACAGAGAAGCCAGCCACTAGAGTTCTTACCCCTACAATATCTCAGAACAAAAGGGGGCTATGTTTTTGTCCATGCCCAGCCTTATTGCTTCCTTTTCCTTGTCTGCACAAACCTCCAGACTTCTAACCTTCAGAGGCTAGTTCCACCCTCTGATCATCAGGCAAGCTTATTTGTCAGAACACAAACAAAATATCACATCAGGCTTGCATTTGTCTTCGTCCATCTAGCTAACTTCTATACATTGCATGATAAAGCATCTAGGTTCTTTCTACTGTATGCAGATATAAAGATCTCCCCAAACTATTTATAGACAGCTATAATTTCTCTTTCTTGTGTTCTTGACACCTCTGTTGGAAATCAGTTGATGATAAATGCATGAATTTATTTCTGGATTCCATTCCATTGCTTTGTGAATGTTTCTAATGCAGTTCCGAGTGAAATGTGTTTCTAGTTATTAGAGTCTAATACTTAGGAATAGCGATGGGCTTAGGAAGGGAGAGGCTGAGCAGACACACAAGTGGTAGGAAAGCAGGGTGTTCCACTAGGATCTGCTTAGTCCTTTCGGAAGGCAGAGAAGCGATGAGAGGACACAACAGGTATTAGGCGCAAGGCTGAGGCTGAGATTGGGGGATTGGTATGGAGGAGAGGAGGAAGAGTGAAGAGCTGAAGCTAGCCTACCTGCTTAGCTGACCTTGTTCTCTGGGAGGAAGCTGGCAGGTTACCCGAAAATGCCTGCTGGGATATTGCAATGAATAAGGGGAAAGGAGTTTGGAGAGGAAGATTTGTGTGATCTACTGGAGGAGAGGGCAGAGGCAGAGAGGAATAGAGAACACAGCAGGTGGTTTGTTACAGAGCTGGGGATGAGACTGGGGGTGGATAGGATTTGGAACATAAGAGGTAAGGATGAAGTTGTCAAGTTGAGCTATCTATTTACCTGGCCAGAGTACCTTTATTTTCTTGAAACTTTAATATAACTGTCAAAATTGTGCCATAATAATAATAAGCAATAGTTATCATAACATGGGCTCTAAGTGTAGGCACATTTAAAGTGTATTATAGGTGGCTCAACCCTCTAATCTTATTTATCAATCAAAGAATTATTTTATTTACATATGCCTCAATATTCTTAGTATATTATGTTTGGTAATGGGCATCTGCTGAGGCTAAATCATAAAAAATTATGATTTTTTAATCTTTCTTCATGATTATATTTTATTATTTATTCATTTTATGTTAAATACTGATTAGTGTTATTTTCTCTTTCTTTTATATTTCCATTTATTTATATGCTGTGACACTATCAGAATTGAGTGAGTAGCATATGTTCTGGACTATCTGTTTGCATGTCTTCTACATAGTTTTTGTGATACAAAGACTTATTTTCCTTCTTTTTTATTTTTTTATTTTCCAGTCACAGGT